TTGCCTTGAATCAAGTGAGAATCATGGGTAAATGAGCAGGTACAGTTGTTTAAAGTTCAAGAGTTAGCTCTCATTCTTATCAACAAGCTTGGTCAAAGGAAGACTATGTTCAAACAGGATTAATGAAGTACTGATTCTTCATACGTTCACACATTCTCACATGTTCTTAGTCACTTGATTCTTTTTACTATACAAAGTGATAAACCAAAATGATGACATTTTAATTTAGCTAAAAAAGACATTACTTTTTTTGGCTGTCATAGAACCTGGAGCTATAATTTCTTTTAAGTTTCTAAAATTCTTACTTTATAAGCAATTTGATATTTTCATATAATATAAACTTACATTGTAAATTGTTGTGTAGAATTGGCAATAGGACTTGGAAGCAAAGTGGTGCAATTCACACAAGTTTTTAATGATGGAGAAAAATATTGCTGAAACAAGTTGGAAAAGAGGTTTAAACACTACCATTTTTCTCAGAAAACAGATCAGTAGTTTCCTAGCATGGGCAGTAGTTTCCTAGCATGGGCAGGGTTGTGGGGAGGGAGATCAAGTGCAAAAGATCACGAGAAAATTGTTTAGAGTGTGAGAACTATTCTATAATTTGATTATGGTTACGGGATTATAAACAATTACTAAAATCAATCACATCATATAATTGTTGGTGACTTTTGTTACATATAAATAATAGGTTAGGAAATAAAAAGGAAGGGGAAACTATAATTTAGAATCAGATATACTATAATAACATATATCCCCCAAAGCATTTGGCTGGTGAAACATTAATGTTTCATAAGTATTTCAAGGGACATAGACTTTTAGGCACTTCTTTCTTACCTTTCCATTCCTCCTGAAGGGAGAAGCTGCCGAGGATACTGGAATTAAATCAATACTCTTTGGAGAAGATGGTTTTTCTAAGTTATCACTCTGTATAAGCAGAAAGCAGTGTACAATTATAGCACCACCAATTGCTTACCCATCAAATAATTAGGGATACAGCTTTTGTTATATAAACAAAATCAGGACTACATAATTCAGGGTTTTAAAATGTGCTCTTTTCTAAGACACAAGTAGAGTTATATAGTACATGTTCCCTTCCTCCTAACACGCTCGCAGATTCGCTCACACCAATATCTAAATTAATTAGAATCATTGTCAGTTAAGGGAATTCAAAGCATCTATAAATTGTATTAGCACCAAAACATGAAAAGTGAAAGGCTCAGAGGCCAGCTACTCATTCTTCAGGACTACTGAGTCAGGGGTAGATGCCTATCTAAGGCAATCAGGGCTTAGAGAAAAATAAAATGTCACTGTTTCTGCTGATGACCCATTTCCTTATCTAATAATTTCCAAATCTGGAAATTGACAACTAAACAGAATCCAGTCTACTCAAATTTCAGCTCAATTCTTGTTTTATTATCCAAGATGTCCTTGGAAAAGAACCCTAAACATATTATGACAACTAAGTAATCATAATATGTACACAGACATTAACAAATGTTAGCAAGGGATGTAGCTAAATTCCAAATACATTTAAAGTTGTTTGTTAAAATTTTAGTGGGAGTATATGTGTTACAAGCATAAAAATGAAGTGTTTTCCCAGTAAAGCCAATGTCTGCGGTTTCAAACTATAATATATAGTTAATAAATTATGTAGAAGAGAGTGAAATCATTTATTGTTTTGTCATCTAAGCAATTTAACCAGCACAACTAAACTTTTTAAAGGCCCACTAGGATAGAGAGGAAGCTGGTCCACAACATTGATGGTACTGTATCAACAACTATTTACTTTGAGCCCCAGTTTCAAACGATGCTAGTTATTTGTATAGGTAAATCATAAACTGTTTCTTTAGAGGAATCAAAAATTACTTATGCAGCATATATAATTTTAGTTTCCAATGAGAGCTTAGATTTCTAGAAATTACAACAAAACTAGGTAGCACCAAAACTCAAATCAGTAAAAATTTCAAATTTTCTACAAAATTAAAGTGTTAATACCATACCAAGTTCAAACATTCTTCCCAAGAATGACTTATCTGGATTGTAGTTTGTACCTCCCTATAAAAGAAAACACATCAGTACTGTAGTTTGCTTATCTTAAAGAAAAGATATTACTGAATATACAGGTAATCAGAATTGCAATTCAATGTACACTACTCACCATTCATGCATTGTTTCTCTATCCATTAAATCCATGCTTTCTTCCTAAAAGGCAAAAAAATGAGAATAAACTGAATAAAGCTTCTATGGTTTTACATGTGATTTCATTTGGCTGCACCTTTATTATTATTCACTGGGCTATAGAAGAACTAGAGTACAAAGGACTCTCAAAACAAGTGTCTGGTTCTCTCATTTTCATTGTTGAACCTACCACACTAAAGATCTATTGCTTATGTATTACAGTACATCAGATATGCAAAAACTGATTAGAAGAAAAACTGTGTTTTTCTTTATTCAAAATAAAAAAACATCAAATATTAAATATTATTATATTTTCTTTTTTTCTGTGTTCATGCTAATTATTACTTTTAAAATTTGGTTTTATTTTTTATTTTTTAATTACAGTTGCATTCAATATAATTTTATATTAGTTTCACGTGTAGAGCATAGTGGTTAGACATTTATATAATTTACGAAGTGATCCCTCCAATAAGTCTAGTACCTACCTGGCACCATACATAGTTATTACAATATTATTGACTATATTCCCTATGCTGTACTTTACATACCCGATACTATTTTGTAACTGCAAATCTGTACTTCTTAATCCCTTCCCCTTTTTCATCTAGCCCCTCAACCTCGTTCCCATCAGGCAATCACCAGTTTGTTCTCTATAACTATGCGTCTCTTTCTGTTTCGTTTGTTTATTTTGTTCTTTAGAATTCACATAAAAATATACTGTTTTTCCTGCCATTAATACCATGATATTAATAAATACTACTCAGAGTCCAACACAAACTAAATGTGTATCGGTATGCATTTGCTTAAGTAAATGACGATATGAACATGATTTAAATCTAGTCATTGACATTGAAAAATATGCATTACAAGAAATAGTGTTTGACAAAATCCAGCATCAATTTATGATAAAAACGCCCAACAAAGCAGGGATAAAGGGAACATATCTTAACATAATAAAGGCCACATGTGACGAACCCACAGCTAACACCATACTTAATGGGGAAAAGCTAAAAGTGTTTTCCTTAAGATGAGGAACAAGACAAGGATGCCCACTTTCACCACTTTTATTCAACATAGTATTGGAAGTTTTCACCACAGCAACCAGACAAGAAAGAGAAATAAAAGGCATCCAAATTGGAAAGGAAGAAGTAATTCTGTCATTATTTTCAGATGACATGTTAGTATATATAGAGAACTCTAAAAGTATACCAAAAAACTCTTAGAACTGATAAATGACTTCAGAAAGTAGTAAGATACAAAATTAATATTCAAAAGTTGGTTGCATTTTTATGTACCAATGATGAACTACCAGAAAGAGAAATTAAGAAGACAATCCCATACACAATTGCATCAAAAACAATAAAATTATGAGGAATAAATTAAGCCAAAGAGGTAAAATTATAAATCACTGAAAAAGAAATTGAAGAGGATACAAATAAGTGGAAGCATATACTGTTCTTGTGGGTATGAAGAAAACATTGTTAAAATGGCCATACTACCCAAAGCAATCTATAGATTCAATACAATCCCTATCAAAATATCAATGGCATTCTTCAGAGAACTAGAACAAATAATCCAAAAATTTATATAGAACCATAAAAGATCCTGAATGGCCACAGCAATCTTGAGAAAGAAGAACAAAGTTGGAGATATCATGCTACCTGATATCAAAATATATAAGGATACAGTAATCAAAACAGCATGGTCCTGGCATAAAAACAGATACACTGATCAATGGAACAGAATAGAGAGCCCAGAAATAAATACACTCCAATAAGGTCATTTAATCTATGACAAAGGAGGCAAGAATATACAGTGGGGTAAAGATAGTCTCTTCAATAAATGATGCTGGGAAAACCGAACGGATACATGCAGAAAAAATGAAACTGGACCATCTTACACCATATATAAAAATAAGCTCAAAACTGATTAAGAATAAAACATAAACTCTGATATCACTATTAGTAATATTTTTCCTGCTACATCTCCTTGGGCAAGGGAAACAAAAGAAAAAATAAACAAATGGGACCACATCTAACTAAAAAGTTTTTGCACAGCAAAGGAAACCATCAACAAAATGAAAAGGCAACCTACTGAATGGGAGAAGATATTTATTTATGACATATCTGATAAGGGGTTAATATCCAAAATTTATCAATTTAACAACAAAAAGAACAAATAATCCATTTAAAATATGGGCAGATAACCTGAATAGGCATTTCTCCAAAGAGTACATACAGATGGCCAACAGACATAGGAAAAGATGCTCAACATCAAAATCATCAGAGAAATGAAAATTAAACCACAATGAGATATCACTTCACACCTGTCAGAACAGCTATCATCAATAAACCAAAACACAACTGGATGTGGAGAAAGGGGAATCCTTGTGAACTATTGGTGGGATTGCAAATTGGTCCCGCCACTATGGAAAACAG